CAATACCTACTTATGTGGCATCACATATGTTATCTAGATGGGGAAAAAAGAATAATAGCTTCCAAATTGGGAAATAAAGTTTCCATGTATTTAGTAAAGAGCCCTAGAAATGGAGTCAGTCTTGAGTGAAGACCTTTGCCATCTTGCAGGTATTGACACTGAGCAATCATTTCATTCTATTCTGTTGATACAACTATAAACATGAATAGTAAATATCATGCTTTCCTCTTCCAGGAGGATTGTGAGGACTATTTTATAAACTCAATGGAAAGCTAATTTTATTCCATACTTTAGGACCTATCTACAGGCTGCTCTCTTCCCAGAACACCCTTCAGAAAGCACCAAGCTGGCTCCTTCATCTCCTCCAAATTATAATTCATATGTCTCCTTTTCAATGATACCTCCCCTGGGGCTGGGGATGTGGCTCAAGCGGTAGCGCGCTCGCCTGGTATGCGTGCGGCCCGGGTTCGATCCTCAGCACCACATACCAACATACCAACAAAGATGTTGTGTCTGCCGAGAACTAAAATAAATAAATAAATTTTAAAAAAAATGATACCTCCCCTGACCACCAGGTAAATGAAAACTCATTCCTATTTTATGCTGCTCCTCTCTGTTCTGGTTTCTTTTTGTTTTGTTTCATTTCAGTACTAGGAATTGAAGCCAGGAGAGCTTTACTACTGAATTACATCCCAGTCCTTTTTATTTATTTATTTTTTAAAGAGAGAGAGAGAGAGAATTTTAATATTTATTTTTTAGTTATCAGCGGACACAACATCTTTGTTTGTATGTGGTGCTGAACCTGGGCCGCACGCATGCCAGGAGAGTGTGCTACCGCTTGAGCCACATCCCCAGCCCCACCCAGTCCTTTTTATATTTTTATTTTTGTCACAATATGTGATGGAATCAGTGTCACTCCGTGTGGATTGGGCTGGCAACAACAACAACAACAAAAAAAAAAAACACACACAAACACAGAAAATACCTTTTTGGGGGTTCAGGATAGCTCTGCAGCCTCAAGAATCAAGTTCCCATGCTGGAAGGCAAGGAGGCAAGAGGCAAGAGGAAGAGGCAGGCAAGAGAGCAAGCACGCTCTGAACCCTGGTGTTTATTAGGAAAAAGTTCCACCCAAATAAGGCAGGGATTGGGTTTCAGAGGGTGGAGTCTTACTTGGTGATGTCTTACGGTCAGCAGTTTTAATGACATCTTGGAAAGTCACACCTATCTCAGGTGTTGTGTGGGATCATAGGCAGAGCTAAAGGAAAGGCACACATACATGGCACAGCCCAGTCAGGCAGCATCAGTCCAGTTCCCTCATACACTCAAATGTGCATAGCTCACACACACACAGCCCATATTTTATTGATTGATTGATTGAGACAGGGTCTCACTAAATTGCTGAGGCTGATCTCAAACTTGTGATCCTCCTCCTGTCTCTCAGTCACTGGGATTACAGGCATGGGTTGCCACACCCAACTCTACTTTCTTCTATTTCTAAAGCACTGTATCACTTCTAATATGCTATATAATTTAGTGATTATGGGTTTTGTATATTTCCTCTTCTGCTAGAATAGAAATTCTGTGAAGAAGGGGTTTATTACTTTGCTCACTGATGTGTCAAGGCCTTACCACAGCATCTGATGGCCTTGAGCACGGAAGTAGGTATTCAGTGGGTGCTTGCTGATTAAGTGCCCCTACCTATGGTTTGATCCTCACTTCTTTTCTAGGTCTTTGGTGTTCCACTGATCCTTCTGTCACCATCATTGAGGTTAAGTGTGGGGAAGTGATGTCATACACTACTTTGGACCAGATCAATGAAAAAGAATTTGGACATAAACAAACCACAAAACCAAACAAGTAAACCATTTCCAACAATTCCCATTTCCAACATCTCCTATAATTTTCTCTTTACTCTAGTCTTGCCCCATCAGGCTCTTTTCTCTTCCCTGACCCCCTTCTCCACTCCTTTCTCATCCATTTGGGAAGTCCTTCCTTCTCTTAAAATTTCACCTTTGCCTCTTTGGTCTCTATTTTGTGACCACTTTCTCTTCTGTGAGCTTTTCTTTTCTTTTTCCTAAGTATGTGAGAGAAGAAGGGGCTATCTGAGCTCTGAGGTTGGAGTCACAGAGGGACCAATCCAGGCTTAAGTGCTGAAAGTATTTGTGGCATATAGTAGTACCACAGGTAAAGACATTTTAGCTGGGATCTTGTCCCTGGAGCCTAAGCAGCTCAGAAAGTTCAAGAAAGGACTAAGGATAAGGATTGGCAGGGTTGTAGTATGCTCATAAACATGCAGCAGCTCCTTCTTCACCCTGGGAATTCATGTGAGGAGGAAGAAAGAGGTGCTGAAATGCTGCAGCAGCATGAGTAGTATTTTCCTAAAGCAAACATTTATAGGTACCATTTAGATTTCCAGAGTAAAGATTTGGCTGAATTTGTGTGGAAGAAGCTGCAGGTCAGTGTGAATGGTACAGGTGTGCAGAGGTTGCTCATGGAAGGATAGGGAAGGAAGCTATCATTTACTTGGCACCTCTAGTATATCACAAAAGACCAAACCTGAGTATTGGTTAATACTCAGGGCTCTCTGGGGCCTTGATATTCAAAATATACTTCATGAAGCAGCAGCATCACCTGAGAGCTCATTTAAAATGCAGATTCCTGGGATCCTTTCTAGACTTTCTAATTAGAATCTGCATTTTAATGAGATCCCAGGTGATTCTCAGGCACTCTAAAATGTGATAAGCACTATTATAATTTGGATTTAACTGGCTGGTACTTATTCTAATCATGAATGAAACAGTAAAGGAATTTTAAAGAGGTTTTGGTATGGTTCCAAAGTTACAAGGAAAAGTATATACATATACATATAATTTGGGTGGATACTAGAGATTGAACCCAGGGGCATTTTACCACTGAGCCACATTCCTAGCCTTTTTTATTTTTTGAAACAGGTATTGCTATGATGCCCAGGCTGACCTCAAACTTATAATCCTCCTACCTCAGCCACCCAAGTCACTAGGATTACAGGTGTGTGCCATCATACCCAGCAGAGCATTATACTTCTAAACTGAATTTTTATTTACTCTTTATATTCTGATTCAGATTCTAATTATAAGGAAAAATATAACAAGAATATCAGCAGAAGCATTTAATATCCTATTTAGTTTTAACTTGATTACAGTTTCACCTACCAATACCTAATACCTATTAGATGGTATTATTTCTTATGTAACTCATAGTTCTTTTTATTTAAAGCTATGATTCAAGAGCTTTACAAGTTTGTATTCACTTAGTCTTATATATTTTATGAGAATGGTAGTGATATCTGTTTTCCAAATGGAGAGACTATAGCATAGGGGCATTCCTCAATAAATGATTAAGGGCTTTAGGTCCCACAATTACAAATAGAAAAGAAGGATTTGAATCTTAATCTGAATAGTCTAGTGTCAAGAGTCTGTGTTTAAGGTAAAAGGCCTAACATGCCAGTCTCTCCAGTTAAGTACCAGCTGCCTGAGATCAGAGGCTCCTTTTCTTTATAAAGCTACTTCAATGATGCTGCTTGCAATGGCACTTAAAATGGCTAACTAACACTCAAAAGGCAATGGCAAGGAAATAATAATGCTGAAAGAAAAGGTAAGTAAAGAGGTACTTTGTGGAGAACAGAGGTTTTAATATATATATATGAAATCTTAAATATGCTAATGACCTGCCCTGAGGACTTGGAGTCAGGTGTGAAATGGGACTTAGATTTCCACACCACCAACACTGCTGGTTTTACACACAGATTTTTAAGATTTTTAAACTGTCAAGACTACATGGATACTACTTCTTAGTTAATGAGTATACCACCCCACCTCTTCTAATGAAAGTGCTATGGAAGTTACCCATCATGCTGTCTTTTTGTGGGTGTGGGTGTATGTGTGTGTGAGAGAGAGAGAGACATAGTCTCACTATGTTGAGACCTTGAATATCTGAACTGCCACCCCTGACCAGCACGGGCAGCTGAACTAAGATCACTTGTGTGAATTTGCAGGGTCACAAAATAAAACACAGACACAATTTACCTTACAGAAGCTTCAGGATGGCTTCCCTGGCTCTCGGCCTCAAGCTCCCCAAAAGGGAGAGTAAGAGAAAGTCACGAGAGGCTGACGAGAGAGAGAGAGAGAGAGAGAGAGAGAGAGAGGGAGGGAGCATGCTCGGAAGTGAGCTTTTATTAGGAGGACTCTGTTCTTAGAAAGTTCTATCCATTACAGTGCAGAAGAGGTAGGGCTACAAGGGAATAGGTGAGTGTAACTCAACCCTAGGGTTGCGCCCACAAAGAAGACCTCCTTACTATTCAAGCATTCTCTGCCCAAGCCACAACAAATGCAGTGGTTGGTCAGAGCCTGAGGCATCAGGACTGGAAGGTGTGGTCATTCAGTGTGGCTCCCCACACTGGACTCAAGTGATTCTTCTATCTCAGCCTCTCAGGTAGCTGGGACTACAGGCCTGTCTTCCTGTCACATTGTTAGAGAAAACCACAACAATGATTTCCTATGAGAATGACTCCTATTCCCAGAAGCTTTAAGTGTGTTTAAAAAATAACTCCTACAGAAAAAAAAAAAAAGACTCACCTCTATATATCCTTTCAATTTACCAGGTCTTTAAAAAGTATGCATTCGTACTATCCTTTTAGGGTTGGTCATTGGTCAATATTCAGCATTACTCAAAAACAACCTCTCAATGCCAATTTATTTCCAGATAAGATTTGGTCCATTTAAGGGAAATCATTAAGAATGAACCAAGGGACAGGGAATAAGGAGGCTGCCCATATCCACAGACATCCACCCAGGAGACACCAGCCTTTGATTTATAGATAAGGTATTCATTCCTAAGCAAAACAAATTTGATAAAAATAGAATAAGTCACTTAAAAATCTTACTTTCCAAGAAAGTCACATTTAGGGGCCTGGAAGTCCATGAAATGAGACCAGTTCAGCAACAGTATGGATTCTAAAATGGCTAATAAGGTGGCAGTGATGACCAAAGTTTTCCCACACTCATCACACTTATAAGTCTCTCTCCAGTGTGGCTTCTTTGATGTTTCATAAGGAGTGTCCACCTACTAAAGCTTTTACACCACTGACTGCATTGATAAGGTTTCTCATCAGTGTGGATTTAGAGATGCTGGAAAAGTCCTGCATTCTGACTAAAGGCTTTGCCATACTGATTACACTGATAGCATTTCTCTTCAGTGTGTAATCTAAAGAGCTGAGGCAGAAAGCCTTTCCACATGCTTCACATTGATAGGGTTTTTCTCCTGTGTGGATTCTTCTGTGTCTGATGAGGCCATTGCTGGCACTGAAGGATTTCCCACACTCCCTTACATTGATAGGGTTTCTCTCCAGTGTGGTTCCACTGAAAGCCTTCCCACATTCTTCACATTCATGTGGCTTCTCCCCAGTGTGGATTCTCTGGTGCTGAATAAGGACTGAGCTCTGAGTGAAGCTTTTCCCACATTCATTCCACTGGTGACATCTTTCTCCAACTGAATGGCAACTCTGCTTTTCTACCTTGTTCTCATGTTTACAAGTTTCTCTGTACTTAGAATCCAGAGAAACATTTTTTTGGAATCTGCTCTCCCCAAAATGTTCCATTTCTTTTAAGACTTTCTGTTTTGATACCAACTTCTGGTTTTCAGGTATAGTCTTACCCCCTGGAATAATAAATGGACCAAACAATGTCATCCTTCTCCATTATGAAAAAGCACTATCATAGGATGGAAATCAGATGTATATATTCTAAGAATGCAAACCTAACAGTTTAATGTCAGGAGTTTTAAATGGGGATATTAAGGTCAAGAGCATTGCTGAAATTGCTGGAAGGGATTACCCAGAAAAAGCAAGATTCCCAGAGAGGATGCACATGACCAGTTACTACAAACTATTCACCACAAGACTAGCACTGTTCTAAGTGTTTCATACATATTAACTTGTTGAATTCTCAACTGACTATTTGACTGAGGTATGATGATTAGCCCCATTTCATAGATGCATCAATTGAAGGAACAGAAAGCTTCCCTGAACCGCTTGTTGTCAAGAGCTACAGAATAGCAATGCTTAAATTCCAACTCAGGCAATTTGGCTCCAAAGTCCACAGTCTTAAACAATTTCCTACAGAGAGCCAATGGAGATCTCCTGAATGGACCCGTCAAAGTCCTTACCTTGTTCTTGAAATTGGTGGAGGCCAAAAGCTTCATATTTGAACTGTGTGTCACCATAGACTGGAGCTGGATGACTGTTGATTCCTGCTTGCCCTTAGGATGTACCATGTCCTCTGTAAGCACGTTAACATGTCTGTATTCCTGGTATGGGGCCTGAAGGCAGGTATATTTGGGTTCATAAGAGAAAGACTATGAGAGTCCAAGCTAATACTTAATTAAAGAGATCATATGGAATAATTTGAAACATTTTCTAAAGCAGTGGCTCAATGGAAGGAGCAGAGTTTAGTTTCATACTCTAAAAGAGAACAGGGGGATGGTTTAAAATAGGTAGTTTTTGATAGTCCTCCCTTTAAAAGACAGAGTCTAACTCCCCTTCCCTCGAGTGTGTACTGTACTTAATGGCTCACTTCTACTGAACAAAAGTGTGACAGAAATGATGGTATATAACTTCTATGTCATGAAAAGCATTGTGGCTCTTTCCTTTCTTTTTCCTCCTGAGAAAACCAGCTGATATGTCATAAAGATATTGAAGCAGGTCTAAGAGGAGACTGATGGAGCAAAGAACTAAAACCTCCTGCCAACAGCCAGAGAGAAAATTAAGCTGCCAACAACCATAAAAGTGAGCCATCTTGGAAGTGGATCCACCAGCCTCATTCAAGTTACCAGATGACTATAGTCTTGGCTGACATCATTACTGCTACCTAACAGGAGATTCTTCTAAGTAGCTCCCAAATTCCTGACTCATAAAAACTGATGTTGTTGCTATTGTTAAGCTAGTAAAGTTCAGGGGCAACTGTTTATACAGTAACAGAGAACTAAGACATGTAGTTAAAGCCAACTAACCTGTGTCACCAAACTTCACTCTTCATTTAGTATTCAATGTCTAGAAGCCCATCTTCCTCCTCTTACCTGGTTCCCAGGCTCACTAAGCTCTTGCTCCAGATCTTCCACCACAGCCACTCTCTAGATGGTGCTCCTGCACCCAGGCCTGTAGCTCCTCAGGTAGAATGATCAGGAGCTGCTCTAGCACCAGCAGCTCTAGAATATGCTCCTTGGTGTGAATCTCTAGTCTCCGCCACTGATGACAGAGTTCTTAGAGCCTGCTTAGAGCTTCTCAAGGACCAGGAGTCTCTTAGAAACAAAATTGCCTAAAAAAGTCCGTGTGAGGCCTCCTGGCCAGAAAAGCTGTTCACTGGAAGGTAGGTTTCTTGATCCCAGAGAGGATCTTCTTCCACCTTCACAATCTTAAGTTCATCCTGTTCCTCTGCTGAAGCCATTCTGGAACTAATTTAGAAGACTCACACCAACTTGGGGTAAAAAAGAAAAATCTGTGATTTAAGATTTAATCTTCTTTTTAAATTTTTTTTGGTAGTTGTAAACAATAACTTTATTTTATTTATTTATTTATTTTTATGTGGTGCTGAGGATCCAACCCAGAGCCTTGCACGTGTGAGGTGAGCGCTCTACCGCTGAGCCATAACCCCAGCACTTTGATTTAATCTTCTTAAGGAGGATATACCTAATGATAGAACATTATGTATTAACAGAAAATAAAACAATAAGAAATGCAAAGTATTAAAATAAATGAATAGAATACTATCATTTATGTTAATAAACAGTATATTAGGTATTTAGTTTGTTTAGAAACCGGAAAAAGAGTATGGCAGAATACATCAATGGCCTCAAGTCTTCACCCTTCTCTGTAGTCTATACTTAGTAGTGCCCTCCCATTGTGATTCTGGGCTCAACTATATGACTTTGACCAATGTGATATTAGCAAATGTGACACAAACAGAAGCTTTAAAAGCTTAAAAAGGTTTTCTTACTCTTACCCTCTGAAATCTCCATGCCCAGGCTAGCCTTCAGATAATAAGAGGCATGTAAGGCAAATCACTCCACTGGAGCAGCTAACAAACAGGTGACATGTGAGTGTGCCTAGTCTGAGATCTGTAGGGCTGTTTATATTGTTTGATTGTTCTACCATACTTAATGAAAGAGATCACATAGAACCATACAACCAAGCAAACAATGTAAGTAAAAGTAACAAAGAGTCTAAGGACAGGCTGGGAATTCAGGTGGTTAAACCACAAAATGTTCAGTGTGAGAAAAAAATGTGTGACAAGAGAAAAAGATGCATTATATTAGAATTTAAAAACACTTTCAATTCTAGAATAAAATGTTTATATTTTATTATATGAAAACTGAGGGAAAGTTAAGATAACATTTAAGCTGAGCTTTTAAGTATAAATGGAATGGGCAACATGGAGTAGGATTGAGGAATGGGAAGAACTATTCAAAAGGCCTTGACACAGGGCATACTGTGGTCAGAGAAACTAAAGGATTGGATTTTATAAATACAACAAGAAACCACCAAAGGCTTTAAAGAAGGAAAGTGACAGAACTGGCCTTATGTAATGAGAAGTTCTGCTACTGGACAAAGAATAGCTGAGGGAATGAGGGTGAAGCCATTAGTGGAAGCAGAAAAGTCAAGAGTTGAAAGCAGGTGGGAGTGGAGGGTATTGTATGCAATTTGGAAAGACTTTCCATTTAGATGTTACTGCATTCAGCAACTAATATAACTTTGAAAAATACATACAAATGAAAGGAGAAACAGCTTAACTTTCATAAATGCAGTTCAGTCATTGTTCAAATATTTATGGAATTATGCTAAGAATTGTGAATACCAGAAGCTTATAGCTAGTGGGGATAAATGCACAACACAATGAAATAAAAGTTATCGTTTAGGAGGTGTGTATACACAAGGCATGCTCCTGGAGGAAGTAGGAGAGTTCTTTCTAAATTCAATATTCAGTTTCTATACATTAACTGTAATTCACAAAGAATTCATTTCACAAATATTTATGCCTACTATGTGCCTATTATTTGTGCCTATTACATCAGGCAGCAAAGAATGAAACAGAGTTTGATGTGTCCCCATTTTTCTTCATTACACTAAAAACAGCAGAAAGCATAAAAGATCATTTCCTCATTAGCTTCAGTATTTTTAGCAATAACAAAGAGAAAATATAAATCATAAACTACCTGTCATAAAATAAATCCCAAAGGATAACCAATCACAACAAGAAGGAAATAGAGGAACAACTTAAATACCCTGAAGAAACAAGCAAATCCAGAAATGGAGATACCATACTGGTACTCCTTACTGCCTTACTTCTTCAGAAAGGCAATAGGATGAAAAAAGGAAGGACAAGGTTGTATTAAATTAAAAGTGATCTTTAAAACTACTTGCAGCAGGGCTCAGCGGCATAGGCCTGTAATCACAGTGGCTTGGGAGGCTGAGGCAAGAGGATCAAGAATTCAAAGCCAGACTCAGCAGCAATTTAGAGAGACCCTAAGCAACTCAGTGGGCCCTGTCTCTAAATAAAATAAAATATGGTTCAGTGGTTAAATGCTCCTGGGGTTCAAGTGAGCGCCACCATGCCAGCCCCAGGCTGTAATAATCATTTTTGTCTGGTTGCATTCAAGATTTGTTTTTTTATCTTTGGTTTGTGCACCATGACTATGATATGCTTAGGTTTATTTTCTTATTTTTCATCTCGGGGCTCATTGAAGTTCTTGGATCTAGATGTTGATGTTTTCCACCATCTTTGGAGCAGTTGCAACCCATTATTTTTAAAAAATTTTTCCTATCTTATTCTCTTTCCTTTTTTTTATAAGACTCCAGTTTCATGACTATTAGGCCATTTTATATCATTTACAAATCACTAAAATTCTTTCTATTTTTCTTCAATCCATTTTCTCAGTGCTCTTTGGATTGAAAGCTTTCTTTTCCTATATCCTACATATTGTTAAGACCATCCAGTAAATTTTTTTTTCATTTCAGAAATTTTACTTTTCAGTAGTAGAACTTGATTTGCTTACCCTCTTGTAGTTTTGATTCCTTTACCAGTTTTCCCATTTGTTTACTCATTAAAACTATATTTTCTTTAATCATTGAACATATTTAAAATTGCTGCTTTGTACTTATTATCTACTAAATCATATTATATTATATTTATTATCTACTAAATAATTTAGGTCATCTCTGCATTTGTTTCTATTTAATCCTTGGAGGGGGACTTATGGATATCATGTTCTTACATGCTTTGCATGTACAGTAATTTTTAATCATATATTATATATAGCAGATGATATATATTAAAGCATAGAAATATGATTTCTTCCTGCAATGCATTTTGTTCTGGAAGACAGTATTTTAGGGTTTTGGTCTGTTTGTTTTTTTGATATTGGAAATCGAACCCAGGGCCTTGCAAATGCTAGACAAGCATTCTACCACTGAGTTATATCCCCATCCCTGAAAGGCAGTTAGTTTTATGATAGTTTTCTTTGATTCTTAAGAAATTGATTTTAGATTTTGTTAGTGTGGATATAGAGAGGCTCTTACTCAAGGGTATACTCCTTACTTATACACCTTTACTCCTAAGGAATGTTTTTGTTTGTTTATTTGCTTGTTTGGGGGTTTGGGGTAGTTGTTGTTTTTATATTATAGGTTTTTATTTTTGTTTTTTGATAGGGCTGGAAAAGGTATGATCTTTTTTTTTCTGTGAATAACTTCTTTTTTTGGTACTAGAGATTGAACCCAGGGACACTCTACCACTGAGTCACATCCCCAGCCCTTTTCATTTTTTTATTTTCAGACAGGGTGTCACTACATTGCTTAGGGCCTCACTTAGTTGCTGAAGCTAGCCTCGAATTTATGATCCTCCTGCCCCAGCTTCTTGAGCCCCTCAAATTACAGGTGCGTGCCACCATGCCCAGCTGCTTAACACAAAAAAAAACACACAATAGCAAAGGCAAAGAATACAGTCATTTTAAATTAGAAAAATTGTATACTTTTGTGTGTATGTATGTGTGTATATATATATATATAATTAATATTGCTATTGGTTAAGAGTATATATTAAAAGTAGAAATGGGAGTTTTCACATACCAAATAGAAATTCAAAAATGTATCAAATACAACTCTTACTAAGTTCAGTCTTTAAAATATTCAAAACTTTGACTAAAGCTAGTAATAGTGGCACTTGCCTGTAATCCAGCAACTTGGGAGGCTGAGGCAGGAGGATTACAAGTTCGAGACCAGCCTTCTTAGCAACTCAGGGTAGCCCTCAACAACCTAATGAGATCCTGACTCAAAATTAAAAAAAAAAAAAAAACTAATTCTGAGAACTTACCATAAAGAAATCTTAATTTTTTTAAAAAAAATAACAAAGTTGTTTATTACCTATTATTATAATGGCACAAAATAAAAATAAACTAAATATGAAGCAATCAAAGAATGATTCGATAAATAATGGTACAAATTTTTGATAATGGTAAGAAAAAGATGCTGTTAATGCAAAAATGCTTACGTAGGGAATGGAAAATGCTTACGTAGTTCAGTGGAAAAACATGTGCTCACCAAAAAAAAAAAAAAAGTTTATAAGATTAAGTCTAAACTATGCCTCGTGGCACATACCTGTGATCCCAGCCACTTGGGAGGCTGAGAGGCTGAGGCAGAGGATCATAAGGTCAAGGCCAGCCCGCACAACCTAGCCAGACACTATCTCAAAATAAATTTTATATATATATATATATATATATATATATATATATATGTATAATTATGTACATAAATTATATAAGTTTTATATATAGTATATATACCATAATTATATCTATACCATATATATGTAATATAGGCCATATATAAATCATATAGATCATATATATATATATATATATCCAGTCCTTTAAATAAGTATATATATGTTTATTTATTTATTTAAAGGGCTAGGTATATAGCTTAGTTGACAGAGCACTCCTGGGTTCAATTTCTAGCAAGATACAGTCTTTCATGTTACAGTTGAACTCTCCTGATGTTATCAGTCTTTCCACTTTTACTGAGCTTGAACTCATATAGGACTGAAGTAAATCCTCAACTTGTATGATCTTTGTTCTCCTTTGATCCATCACTGTAACAGTCAGAATATAGACTTTTGGGAGGAGAGGAGTTACTGGGGATTGAACTCAGGGGCACTCAACCACTGAGCCACATCCCCAGCCCTTTGTGTGTGTGTGTGTGTGTGTGTGTGTGTGTGTGTATTTTATTTAGAGACAGGGTCTCACTGAGTTGCTTAGCGCCTCACTATTGCTGAGGCTGGCTTTGAACTCAGGGATCCTACCAAGCCACTGGGATTACAGGCATGCATCATTTCCCCCAGCTTCTTTTTAGAATTTTGTCCTTTGTATGGTCAACTCAGCCCTCAGCCAAGGA